GGCCTCGTGGCCCCCGGAAGCGGGGCGCGGGGTCGACGGGGAAGCCCGGGACGCGGAGGACGGCTCCCGGGACGCCCAGATCCCCTCCCACGCCTGTCCGGATCCGCCGAACTCCAGCTCCCCTTCTCGCGCTGGGCCCCCGGGGGGCGCCCTCCGTCTTCCTCCCCCGGGCAGGGGCGCTGGGTCTCCGCAGCGACGCTCTCCCCCTGCCCCCCACACCCACTCCGCTCAACAGGGCCGAGGTGTGAGGAGGCCAGAGGGTCGGGGAGGAGAGTGATGGGTGCGAGTCCCTCGGAATGAGGGTCCCAGCGAGCGGGTCGACTCGGCGCAGCCCTCGCCGGACTTCTGCCGCCTGGCTGCTGCCCTCTGCCGGCCGGGACCGCCCGGGCTGCGGCCGGAGGCTGTGGCGCTGGGTCCTCGGCCCCGCTGCTGGGCGTTGCGTGTTTCACGGGCTCCTTTCGTCTTTCTTCTCGGATCCCCCCTTCCATTCCTTTTCCGTCCTTCCTTGCCCCAAAGCGCACACAGAAGCACTTGCTTTGTGTTTCTGCTGTTCTTCCCGCAAACAGCTGTCACCCCGGCAGACCTCGGGCTCCTCACTTCACTGCCCCTGAGGAGTTGAGTTGAGCTTACATCTCCATATCCCCAAGTTTCAGTGTTTCTGTAGTCCAGAAGCCGCCCTCTAGTTTGCGGGCCAGCCTGTGGGGGTAAACTAAGAACCTAGAGACCCCATCTCAAAGTGGGATTTGGGCTCCAGCGGGTAAACCTGGGGCCCCACATGGAAAGCCCTCTGTGGATCTCCTGCCTTCCTCACTCCCAACGTAAGCGTGACAGAGGCCTACTGAAAAGTACTGTTTCTATCCTATTTTTCCATGGAATGGAATATTGTGAGGGGCCAAACTACTAAGCAAACACTTTGATTCTAATTTGAAATGCCATTTTCAGAGTCCTTATATTCTCATTTCTTTTCTTTCTTTTTTTTTTTCCTGAGTCGGAGTCTCACTCTGTCACCCAGGTTGGAAGGCAGTGGCATGCTCACGGCCTCCGCAGGCTCTACCTGCTGGGCTCAGGCGATTCTTCTGCCTCAGCCTTCCAAGTAGCTGGAACAACAGCCACGAGCCACCATGCCCAGCTAATTTTTTGATGTATCGTAGAGGCGAGGTCTTGCCAAGTTGCCCAGGCTGGTCTCGAACCCGCGGGCGCAGGCAATCCTCTCGCCTCCACCTCCCAAAGTGCTGGGATTATAGGTGTGAGCCACTGTGTGCTCAGCATAATCCCATTTATTTGGTTGTCAAGCATCAACCAGAAAAAAAAGTATCTGCCTTAGATACTTTTAGTAACTAAAGCTGCCTAATGCTCTGTACTCTGATGCTTAGCAATAGTATTTCACTTTAGTGTTAGGTTTATGGAAATAAATTCCAACCTCTCAGGACCCAAAGTGAATTGTTTTCATGGAGAGGCTGTAGACGTTAGTTTAGGGAGTTGAGGAAGAGACCTACACAGGTAATTTCTATGGCCGCAAATTATAACTTAATAATAGTAATAAAAAGTTTAACAAAAAATAAAAAAATAAATGCTGATATTTCAGACAAAAAATAATAGCAATAATAGTATATGTTTATAAGACACATTTTTATGAAAGCCTTAGAAGGTTAGAGATACAACTGAGGAATAAAAATGTAAAGTCTTGGAGAGTGTTGAGGAGAGACAGAAGGTTCTGGCAAAGGAAAGCAACAATATCTGTGGAACAATTTTGCAAACACATTTTGAGCACCTTCCAATGTGAAGCATGATGCTAAAGACTGGCTTAGACCAGCAGTCTAGACCAGAAGTCTTTGTCTTCAGTGAGCTCACACCTGTTCCCTGCAGATAAGTAGATCACTGCCTAGGGCAAAGTTACAAAAAGAACCTCACCCATGTGACCTGGGTGCTCCACCAAGGAAGAAGCCCACTTTCTGGGAAAGTTGATCTTTGGTTGGACCTTAAAGGAGAAGAGAAGCTTCAACAAGAGCAGGAAGGACATTACAGCAAAGGCAGGAGATGTGAGAATGCATTTTCGGGGAACATAAGATGTGGTTGGAGGAACAGCAAATGAGGTCGGCAAGGAAGTTAACTTTAGGTCATAAGGACCTTGATGCTTGAAGTACTGGGAAGCCATCAAGAGATTCTGAGAAAGTGGAAAAGAAAACCTACGTAGATAGACCTGATACACGAATATTGCCAGGAGAGACTATCACAAACTAGAAATCATTGGTTTGCATTCTTCTCAAAGCATAAGATGAGGTTGTTTACCCTCTATCCACCACTCGCTTGCTAACTCCCAATTTCATCACTATGTCTCAAAAATCTCACCCAGAGGAAAAAGCAGTATCCAAGGATGATGGAATTATTAGCATTTGTTACACAGTGAGATAGAACAAATAAAGATTTTCATCTACTCCAGGCAGGAAAGGGAGTATCTCTTGGGTTTCCACTCATAAACATCTCTAAAAGGTCTAGTACAGTAACAGGTGGCAGGCTGGTTTGAATTGTTCCCTGGTGGCTCCTTCTGTGTGATACTTAGTCTCCAACTAGACAGTAAAGGAATCAGCATAGAGACTGTCTTCTGTTTCCCTTGTGCCTTCTTTAGTTCCTAAAACAGCATGGAACACATAGTTAACTATTTAATGAGAATATTCTTTGATTTGAGCAAAGGACAAAGCACTGTTGACTAATTCCACCAGAAGCGGAAGTAACTTCCTAGCTCTGTTGATTAAGGAACACTTTTTTTGCTGATCTTAAATTTTGTTATGCTTTCTCCCAACTTTTACTACAAACTTTTCTATTTATGGATTTCTAAGACTTTTTCCTTTGTGTAAATCATCCTCTGGAAAAAAAACCCAAAAAACTTTTCTTCTATATTCAGTTCATAATCGCAGCCACTCTTTTTGTCCAAATCACAGCCACTCTTTTTGTCCAAGCTCTTTAATTCAAGGAGGGGCAAGATTTAACAGAAAGGTACAGTGATTAATAACTACTTTGGTATACATCTTCTTGATTTTCATTCGTAGATCTTATGTTGTTGTTACTTTTAGGCTGCCTTGACATCTCTTCTCACATTCTTACTCTTTCCCCCTCTTCTTTTTCTTTTTTTATCTTCTCATTTCCTCCATAGATTTCACAATGGTTAAGACCGTCTTTTCCACCACTACCTTCACATTTCTAACATTTTGGAATTTCAGTGTTTTCTCTGATTTGCTTAACATTTTATTCCCACCCTTAGTGTGTTTCTCTTCCCATCCGCACCATCTGTAATTATTTATTATTTAGGATACATCTTGTTTGAAACCCCTTGCACGAGGGAACCCAATTTGCAGCATGCTCTGTTTATTTCCTTGTGAAAACATTTACTAGGCCTGGAGGAGCCAATATCCTGGAGTTGCAGAGGAGAAAAATAAATTCTTGCCTCATATTTCCTCACCTAAATAATAGAATGCAAAGTTGTAATTTTAAGTCATCATTTTTTGGTGAAGTTTGACTTTAAGGTATGAAACCATAACAATTTAGGCATCTTTTTCGTTGAAATTAAGGGGAGTAAAGTATTTGTTAAATTGAGAACCATACTTAAGAAATCAACAGAGGAAACTAAGTGGAACACAAAGATCCCTCTCAAAGAGGATACACTTTTGTTTCTGACAATAACGGAATATCCAGCTTGAATGTAAAGCTTTCATGTTCAGGGTTATTTCAGCCTCAGGTGGCCCTGCTTAATTGCTTTCCTGTTCCCATTACCAACCATGATGACAGCCCACCTTTTCTAACAGATAACTTGCATTTTAATTTATCTTCAAAAATAAATCACACATTATAGCATTTTCCTTTTCTAGGTTAATTGAATCAATTCCTTAAATGTCTTTAAGTTTAATGATTTGAAGGAGGCACATTGTTTGAAATATTTAAAAAATTAGGGATCTTGGGTTGTATGCAGAATGATCTCAGTGCTTATTTCAAATATGAGTGTTTCCTAATGATCTCATTCATCTCAAATAGGATATGCCTGGCCACTTTATTTGAAATGTTTCCTGCAAACTCTAGCAGGAAAGCTGAATGCAAGGTATTGCATTCAGAAATGGTATTTAATTGATTAACAAAAGCTTATAAAGAGCTTTACATATTTTTATCCAAAAATGCTTAATGAAGTATTTGGGACCCATTATGAAAACTTCTATAAAATAAATTCACTTATTTTTTTATTTAACTTGAATATTAACTTTTTATGTGAGATCTAAACTCTCATTTAATTATCCTTTTCCTTCTAACATTCAGAAGAAAAGAGGCTGAAATCATGGCATTTATTAACCATAAAAATTCTCTAGATATTAAGTTTCTCATTCCTTAATGTGGCCTCTGGTCACTATATTCTATGGTAAGGGGTATTTAGGGTTGCAGGGAGTAGAGTCCTAATTGGTTATGACTCCAAATACTATATATAATTTTGTTTTGCCACAAAACATATTTTCTTTTAAAATATATCTTCCACTTTTCAGGGGACCCCAGGAGACTATTTTAAAA